CAGTGAAACGCGCAATGCAACGCTGCGTTGCAGAATCAGCGCACAGTCATTGGACAATAAACAAGATGGGTTTTGGGCGGCAGTTACTGAGGTGACGCCATGTAAACATTACTTAGTGACATTATGAAACTAACGACTGTTTCGGGTTTTCAGCGTCATTGACTTTTCAAAAATTCACGATTTAATGAGCTGGAAAATATTTGACAGAAATTTGAGCAGAAAAATGTTCCGTTCTTTTCGGAGCAAACAAGTTTTATTGCCCATAATTTCTGAAGTATGGGCGGGAAGTAATTTATTGTGGTAAATGTGATTAAAAAACAAAGGAAATAAAAAAAAAAACAAAAGAAAGAAGCAAAAAAAAAAAAGCGATGAAGAGGAAATAGAAATAACAATAATAATATTAATAATCGTAATAATAATAAAGATAATATTAGCAAACAAAAAATGGAGGGCTAAGTTCGGTTGTAACCGCAGATTTTATACTCCCGCAATTTGCGAATTTAGCCTTGAAATCGAACGCAGAATTACTCTTGCCAGCAGGTGCTACTTCGAATTGAATAGGCAATCCAAAGACTAAACTCGACAAGTCACTCACCATTCCCGTCCTGCTATATGATGCGAAGGCATGGACAATGACATCATCAGATGAGTCGGTCTTAGGAGTGTTTGAGAGAAAGCGTTTGCGAAAGACTTATGATCGACATTGACATGGTTCAACGAATCAAGAAACAGTGGCTGCGCTGATCAAGTCACGTTGTCCGAATGGACAAAAACACTCCAGCTTTGAAGGTTTTCGATTCAGTACTTGTCCGTGGAAGCAGGAGACGGGGAACACTTCCCCTTGCACTTGGTATAACGATTGGCTCGCTATTGTTAACTCAGCCAGTAAAAAAGAAGAGCTTGCAAAACTTACCGATCTAAACGAAATTAGATCTTCGAAAATACAGTCAAATCCGGTAACGTAGAACCGGCTATTTTAGGAGTTGTAACCACCTCTTTGCGTGTCCTGATAACCCTACACATCTAACACCTTTCTCTCTATGGTACAACCCCGTCGAAACAGCACGTTTCCTGGGTTTAACGTTGGCTGATCTCGATGACAACTTTTCTAATTCTTGCCATCCTTTTGGGATAATGTACCCATTAAATTTTACAAATTAAGGAATCTCACACACTGACCAATGTACATATAATATAAGGAACAAAGTCAAGCGAATGTTAGGTTTTTGGGGATTAGGAGAAGTATTGCACCGATTTTACCCTATTTGATAAGAACATGAACAAAAATTGTTTCCCCAAATTGCAATACTAGACCTCATAAATTGAGGCATGGGAGGGAAGAACACACTGAAGAAGTTCAGATGGATCAAAGCTTGCGAGGAGGTTTTGTGAAGGTGTACACTGTCGGCATTTTTACATCACTTCCAATTTTAGGCTTCCTGATCACGACAGCGTCTTTCAAGCGGAGATGGTGGCTATAAAAGTAGCAGTACATCTACTATTATGGAGCACGGCCTCCTTCAGAGTGGGGACTATACACTCAATAGCAGGGCAGCGATAAAAGCATTGAGTTTTCTGGCTGCGCGCTCAAGACTAGTGAAATGATGTCTACTCTCCTTATCTCTAGCATTGACTTATTTTACGATTAAACTAGATTGGGTGCCTTGCCATAGCGGTAAGTAGTTTGCGAGGTTAGGCACCTCAGTTTCAATAAGTGTAAGTGGAATGTGAACATGTAGGAGCTCCGTTAGCATCTTATGGTTCACTGCTAGACTGTTGTACTTCGGACCAGCTCAGTAAGCTTTGGCCAACTACCAGCAGCTGTGCAGTCGCAAAGTTCTTCTAGCTCAGGATAAACCACAAGAGTTTTAGGGAACTCTTCAACAATGATTGTAGAAGTTCTAATTGAACACTGTCTGATCGGGATACATGCTGTAAGATTGAACATCTTACCGGATGTCAGTTGCATAAGATGTTTGGAGGAAAATGAGATAGAATCATCTCAGCACTTCCTTCTGAAGTGTCCTTCTTCTCCAAGATGAAGCCAAAAGCATTTTGGAACTTCTCTTTTTGAGCATCCAGATGACATACCGGATATAGAAGTATGAACATCTAAACAGATTTGTGATATGTTCAGCATACAGGAGATTTTTCGTTTGACTATACAAAGGGCGGCACTTAATAGTCTTAGAGCGATCCCACGATTCAGAGGTCACTCGTCTAACCTAGGCTAACTTAACCTAAACTCCTAAATGGACCGATTTGCTCGGTAAAAATTGGTCATAGTTGCTATTTAGGCTCTTGAAAAGTTACTATATAGTTCGACTTTGACAAGTTTTGGTCGATTTCCAGATTTCCAAGCATTGAAGGCGTCAAGGAAGGCAATCTCCGGAATAGTCTTGATATCCGTGTATGCTGCTTAAATCTCGTCTGTCGTTTCGGAGTGAGCCGGGGTGTTGTCGTGGTGCAACATAAAAAGGACTACGATGTCTTGTCAGACCTTTCTTGAGGACTTCCACGTAAAACTTGGCGTTGACGGTTTGTCCATGAGAAATTCATGGTGGACGATGCATTTTACAAGTATCTCAAAAAAGTCAATGAACATCGTTTTCACTTTGGATTTGCTCATTCATCAGCAACCTCTCCCCGGCCCTGCAAAAAAGCCTGGTGCCACCGAAACACACCACTTCTTGCTAAATCAATATCTGGTTGAGACTGCTTGATCATATCAATCAGATTTACCGAGTTTCACACAGAATTTAATCGCGTACCTCTGCTCTAATGAACGCTGCATTTTCGGCTTACACCACTCACAGAAACACGTCGTGAGTGAATGTCTATCCTGACTCTCCAGGTGCTCGGAGACAACTTACCAACCGCTTAGTACAGTCGCGGTGGAAGACTGTCAGTCCTGTATATGTGGATATTTAATTATATTTTTTCATCATTATTTAAACCCTGTCGACACTCACTCCTGTATATGAGAGCAAGCTCCACATGCCATCACTCATTTATATTATCTGCAAATGAACCAAATCAATGTGAGCAGCCACTTCGCTGCAAGCTATTCACTTTGGAACCACAAATATTGCAAACAATGTGACACTATGACACGATAGCACACGCACACGCACATATTGTGGCAAAATTATGTTAACTAAATTACACACACATATAATAATAACAGCGCTTTAGACTTCATTTGCGTTATAACAGAGAGCGTTAACTGCCGCAGAGGGACTTTCACTCAAGCAAACACATATGTAATTTTCCATCTATGTAAATATATGCGTATGCACGTGATTTTGCCATCGGCTGGAGGCGCTCGAACTGGCTCATGGGAGCACCGTAAGTGTCGTGCTGCTGTTGTCGGCTTTTAGGCGTGCACATGTTGCAGCATCCGCTTGGAGCTCGCGGCACATTCGGCAGATGTTTCAACCATTTTGCTATTATGCTGATTATGCTAATCAGCGCCGCAACCGTTGACCATTTGCATTTCCCTTTTGTTTAATTTTGTCTTTATTGTATTTGTTGCAATGGGTTTATTACTCAATTGGGTTAGTTTGACTGGTGTTTATATAAAAGTTGTTATTGAGTTGTTTTGAAGCTCGGTTATTGAAATGAGATATTGAGTTTTGGATGTATCCAACATAGTTGCCTTACTAGTGTGGTGTAACAGGAAAAAAATATCGATATTTGGTCTCTTAAATCATTATTTTTATTAAATCCGAAATCTGTCTTAAAACACAGTTGTTAAGGTCAATTTCTGAAATAGCCTTCAGTGGGCGTAGCGATTCACTTTTATTATCTTCAATTGAATCAAAACAGTTTTCTTGGGTTTGGAGTTTGCTGAATAGCAAAAAACCATGAACTGTCGGTCCATAATCCCGACCAAGTTTTACGAATAACTTCGCGCATAACGTTCAAATAGTATTCCCTGTTGACAGTTTAGCTGATCCAAAGAAACTTGGAATGCCCCACACCTCGATAATCGAAGAGAACTGTGAACATAACCTTGATTTTTTACCTGCTTTGACGTAATTTTGTCGGCTTCGGCTCACCTTTGCAACCGTATTCGGCCAATTGGCCGTCTGTTTCGGGATCGTACTCATCGCCAGTAATAATAACTTTCATCCAGGTCCTCCTGGTAGTCGGAAAGCATTGTTTCACATACGTTACCGCGAGGTTGTTTCTCGAAACAATTGAGTGACTTTGGAACCACTCGTGCTTTTACTTTTCTTAAGCCCAAATTATCTTTTAAAATGTTTTTCATTGATCCTTCGATATTCCAACAATGCCAGGAAGATCTCTGACTGTTAATCGTTGATTTTCAAGCACCTATTACATTGTTTTACTGACGTATTGATCGATCATCCGCTGATGTTGATGGTCATCCTGGACGACGTTTGCCGTCAATGCATTCTCGATCCTTTTTTTTTTTTATTTTTGTTTTCATTCGTACTGAGTCCCTCATCTTTGCTATATTCATGTGGCGAGCTAAGTTGGTTGACCCATAGCCCTCTGTCTGAAAAATCAAGATAAAGATCTTAAATTAGGATATTACACATAGTAGCCCTTCCGTACAAGAGTTAATTAATAAATGAACCAGCCTTTTCATGATTAAATTAATTAATTACCAAGCTAAAAATCTTATTTCACTACATTAATTCTTAATCTTGAAACTGGAATCCAACTTTGTGGGTTGTTGTCTAGACTCTAAATTTGTATGCCTTGATAAAATAGCAATCAACTGATAAATTTTGTTCAAAATTTAAAAAAAAACAGCTGATCGATACTATCGTTAATCAAGCAATCAGCTGTGCGAAATGAAAAACTGGATTCTCAATTATAATCTTAATGTACTAAATTAATTTGACTGTGAACAAAGTACAGGTTTCTCGCTTTACAAAACCGTTAAGTTTATTAATTTGTACTCCTCACGAACTGACTATGTTATTTCAAAACAAGAATAATAAAATTATTTTATTATTTGCGCTTTATTAAATATATGATTCTAAATTTTATAAAATTTCCAAAGCCTTTCTCAAATAGTTAAACAGTTCAAAAAATTTTTTGTTTCATTGGTTGACACTTATTTTCCTATGACGGTCTCCTGGTAGGCGTGGGTCTCCTGGTTGGTGAGGGTCTCCAGGTTGGATAAGATGGTCTGGTTGGTACAGGCCGCCTTGTTGGTGCTATAGATGGTGTTGGTCTTCTTGTAGGCGGTGGTCTAGTTGGACGCCTTGTGGGCGGTGTTGGTCGCCTAGTGGGTGCTGTTGGTCGCCTAGTAGGTGGCTGAGCTTGAGCCAACGTTATTAGGACGACTAATAACGTAACACCAAAAACTGTAATGAAATACATAATTATAATTATTAGCATCAATAAGGTATCTAGTTGAAAGGTTGTTGAACTTACGGAGCATAAAGAAATTCCTGGGCATTTTGCTTGCAATTTTTCGAACTGCGTACTCCTTACGACTGTAAGTGTGGAACTCAACTGATATCTTCACAACAATTCCTATGATGTTATATACATGAGCAAACCTCGCGGAACAATTGATGTCTGTTTTAATACATGTTTTGTTATTTTCGATTAAATCAATGCTTTTAGTGAATGGACTGTCTGACACACTTTATTGCATTGTTCTTTACTTCACTTGTTGTTACCATTATGTGCAGGTAGACAACTTCAAAATTAAATATTAAATATATACATCTATTCATGAGCATTTTGTTTACTCATTTTACATCAGCTTTAAGCAGCGAAATAAAAATCGGGGTAAGTGATACCATATACTACATATCAACATATATTCGATACGAGACAAAATACTTATGAAATAATACTTTTGTAAAGTAGGTAGGTAGTTGCAGCTCTGTTACATTTCGGGCTGAATTAGCTTTACCTTTGCCATTTTGTTTTACTAGTCGTAGACTTTTTTGATATTGCTGTCACATTCACATGTTCATTCACTGTTTCACATTCTCTTTCACACTTTTGGTTTTCGATGAAGCTACTAACGTCCGCTATCCTTTTTGCAGACATCCATTCAAGGTTTGGTGCTTCATGTTTTCCAAGTGTTCTGTGTCAGATCTGCGATAGGGCTGTGCATTCACAGAGAAAGTGGAAAATTGTTATTATTTTTATTAATTATTCATTTGGGAATTAATAATTAATTAATTATTTTCGCAGCATCGACCGATGTTGTTGTAGGGCATACCCATATCGAACGCATGCCCTTCAAACGGCCAATAATATTTATGCACCGATTTAATAAGTCGTTAGTTTTTTTCATATCATTTGTTTGCCATATGTGTTTAGTTATATTTTCCCATCTATTATTTGCTAATTGTTGAAATTGTATCTCTCCTGATCGATCTTAGCGGGCTTGGTATACACTCTGCCTCGTAGACGTTTATTAATACTCCTGCTTTGCCAACTCGTCTGCTTTTTCATTACCGAAAAATGTTCCTGTGGTCGGGAACTCAGACCAAGTCTATTGAACTCAGTGTATTCTTGCATTTAAGAACTATTCTGGAATTAGTCATGGGCGACGACAAGGCTAGGAGAACCGCCTTGCTATATGGCTGCTTTATGTAGGCTCCTCCTCTCTATGTCCCTTCTCCATTCACGTCCACCATACCAGTGCTCCATCTGTAAGTATAAATCTTATTGCAAGTGTAGTAGGTAATATATTTTTCCTTGCACCCTTAAGTATTTAGAGGATAGAGAGAGTTCGTACCATTTATCGGGAAGTTGAATTTGGGTTACTTTGCTTTTGCTTGTGAATAGTATCAGTTATTTTTTATTAGAGTTAACACCTAGTCCATTATTGTTAGCCCATAGATATAACCTGCGTAAACATGCGTAGTGCGCTTTCCATGATTTCACTGACTGTTGAAGGAAACATGCCTGATAACAACAACGCTTTATCATCTGCATATGCTACTGCTTTCATACCTCCACCGTATAGTTGGAGTAATATTTCGTTCAGTGCTACAACCCAGAGAACCCTCCTCGACGCGTTCCTCTGCTCACATAACTTCTTTGTGTTGCATCGGCATTTGATGCCATAATCTTTCTACTCTTAATTGTATCCATCTGTACACTTCTATATTATTAAAGGCTCCCTCTATATCAAGAAATGCAGCCATTATGTATCGTTTGCAATATTGTAATTTTTCAATTACACTTATTATTGTTGGCACTTTGATAACGTATCCGCCATATGTAAGTTTGCCAGTGGTTCTGGTTGCACCTCTGTTGTCGCCGTCTGCTGCCAGGAAAATGCGTTATTAAATGTTGTTGTTAAGATACTTTCTATCTTCTCTACCTTACTACGAAGCTCTTGAGGAATGCCGATACTAATACAACTTTTTCAAGACTTTTTGTTACTATTCTTAAAATCGTGCTTCCACTTTTCTTAGGCTCAAATGATATTTAAAAATAGATTTAACTGACCTTCACTATATCTCAACAGTGTCTGTAACTGTTGACCGGTTATTCTCAAGCATCAATTCTTTTTCTCCTTTATTTTATTGACGTGATGATTGTTCGTCGTCAACGCGTTTTCGATCCTCTTTGAATAATTTGTACTAACCAAAAACACTTGACCGCGAATTTCTACGAATTTATTTTCCGTCATACTAAACGTTTCGGCACTATGAACTTGATTCCGCACACAAAATTTAATGGAACTTCTTTGTTGAATAATTTCAGTAATCGTAAAAATCCCCAAATACACTATAAACTTCGGAATATACTACTTATATACTAAACAGTAGTGATTATTTGATGTGACATTTAGCACAAATGTCATTGTCAGTCATACTTACCTAGAAAAAAGAAATGTTTCGACGAATGGATTTTCAAGCGAAATTTGAATTAAAAAGTCTTACTATTATTTGCCCATTTTTTGAGACGTTTGGCAGGGTCCATATAAAAGGAAAGCATGGAAATTATCTTGTTATCATTCAAAGTGAGTCATCTTTTCCTTGTCATAACACAACAGAGATATATTGAATTTGAAACAAATTTGTAACTGCTAGAAAGAAGCGTCTCTTATAAAGTATAAATATATAAATGATCAGCACGGCGAGCTAAGTTGGTTGAGCCACAGCCGTCTGTCTGTGTATACGGGAACTAACTAGTCTCCCATTTTTTAAATATCGATCTTTCACTCCAAGTTCATTTGTCGGAACCGTCGATATGGAACCACCATAGAGTACACGCCATACAAGCTGACGAACAAAATCAAGATAAGGATTTTCATTAAAGAGTCTAATAGCCTTTTCGCACAATAGTTAATTAATAAAAATCTTCTAATTAAAAATCTTATTTTACTACATTAATTCTTAAACGAAATCAAATGGAGTTGAAACTGGATTGCAAGTCTGTGGGTTGTTGTCTAGACTCTAAATTTGGTTGTATGCCTTGATAAAATAGCAATCAACTGATAAATTTTGTTCAAAATTTAAAAAAATATAAAATGAAAAATACAAGCAACTATATCAGCTGATCATTACTAGATAGTATCGTTAGTCAAGTAATCAGCTGTGCGAAAAGAAAAACTGGTTTCCCAATTATAATCTTAGTGTACTAAATGAATTTGACTGTGAAAAAAGTAAAGGCTTTTCGCTTGAGAAAACCGTTAAATATATTAATTAATCCTCCTCAAGAACTGCCTATTGTTATTTGAAAACAAGAATAATGAAATTATTTTATTATTTTCCCTCTAATAAATATAAGGTTTTAAATCTTATGAAATTCCAAAGACTTATTTAAATAGTTAAACGGTTCCAAAAATGTCATATTTCATTGGTCGATACTTGTTTACCTATGACGGTCTCCTGGGCGGTGGTGTTCTCCTGTTTGATGGAGGTCTCTTGGTTGGTGGTATTGATGGTGTTTGTCTTCTAGTGCTCGTTGGTATAACGGTTGGACGCCTAGTAGGTGGCTGAGCTGAAGCCAAGTCGTATTAGTCGTTCTAATAACGTAACGCCAAATTAACACTGTTATAAAATACATAATTCTAATTATTTGTATTAATAAGGTAACTAGTTGAAGATTTTTGAAGTTACGGAACATAAAAAAATTCCTGGGGATATTTCTTGCAATTTTTCAAACTGCTTACGACTGCACAACAGTTCCCACGATGCTATATACTTGAACAGACCTCGCGGTACAATTAATTTCTGTTTTACCACTTGTTTAGTTATTTTCGGATTTATGCTTTTAGTGAAGGGACTGTCTGGCAGACTTTATTGTGTTGTTGCTTCATCTGTTGACATCATTGTATACAGGCAGACAGTTTCCGAATTAAATATTAAATATATCTATACATGAGCAATTATAATATTAAAAAAAATGTTTTATTTTGTTTTTGTATTTTCTGTTCCTGTTCATGATTCCGGTCGAACTACTCAACCGATTTGCTTTATTCTTGTTTTTATAATTTATTGACCAAATTTATGTAAAAAAAGGTGGGGAGAAATTAAAAAAACAAAAACGTTCATTACTTTTTTATTTATCAACATTTTTCCATGGTTCTAGTAGGACCGATAATTATTGACATACTTTTTAAAAATGAATTGGGTTTTTGTATTTCAGATGATCCAAACATGAGAAATAGTGTCCGCCAGTGAAAAACCGCATCTCATTCACCTAGATATTTTTCCGACAAATGTCTGTCAAAAAACTCCAAAAAAAAAAATTTGTTTATACACTCCACGTTATACTTCATTATTATTTTTCACGAAATTGTATTGCAAACAGAGAAAATCGACGTAAGTGAGGCCATATACTACCTATTTATATTCTATTTTAGCCAAAACGCCTAAATATGTATATAAATACTATGTCGTTTGCCATGGTCATCATCAAAAGAGGGGTCTCTCATCCGAGGCTGTTGCGTTGTCATTGGGGTGGTTTTTTTACGTGGCGGGTCCCAAACCCAGCGCACAACCCTATGCAGGGAATGTTTCGCCTTATCACTTTAGCTCACCTTCAAACAGATGTTCTTAAGCTACCCAGAGGATACTTGGTCAAGGACCGGAAGTCGTGAGCTGCTTGAGTCATATGTAAAAGAATCGTTTCTGGCCATTCCCAAGTGAATGACGATCAGAGAACTTTCCTCACTTGCGTGAACTTCTACACATGACTCCATTCTCTACCAAAATACTATGTCAGATTATTGAATCCTAGACAGGGTCTTATCGGATCAATTTAATGTCTTAGGAGTATTTGGTTGTTTATTTATCGTTATTAGTAATTTTTAACGGTACTAATATATGGAGAATGAGCGGGATTATACATTTTCGTACTGTCAGGAGTTTTAATAATATTTGCATTAAGCGAATTTTGGTAGCGCTGAAAGTGGTTAAGAAATATTTACTACTGTGATCAGATTGAATGGTGAATTTTGTCCATTTCACCTTCTTTAACGTAATATCCTCCCGTTACAATATACTTATGTCAATGAATTT